ATTGAATGGGATTGGATGGAAGGGCTGCAGACAAGTGTTTACAAAAACAGGGGATTTCGCTGGGGAGTATTATGATGTGCAAACACTGGGTTTTTGTTTTGCTTCATTATTTGACACTACGTGAACCGAGAGCACGTTCACCTAATGGAATACTATACCTTGTGTTTCCCGTGTTGGGTAAGGGATTATACTGAAGTGGTAGCTTTATTTTCTCCACTGCAAAAAAAAATATCTGCTGCTGGAAAATACACAAATATGAAATCTTGTAAAATGTCATTCCAAATCCGAAACACTGATGCCTATGGCCTGCTTCTCCTGCAAAGAAGATCACCTGATTTCCTCCTTTCCCCAATCAGGAAAAGAAGGGGGCTAGTGTGGGTAAGGGAGGAGAATTAACTTCTGCTAATGATTGTGACCCTTGGAGAATTTCTCTATCACTATCTCCTGTCACTGTCTAATTTTTAGTCTCTTTCTATCTACTGTAGTCAGTCAATGAACATTTATTAAATACCTACTATGTGCCCGGCACTGTGCCAAGCACTGGGAATACAAAAAGAGGCAAAAGATAGTCACTGCCTTCAAGGAGCTTACAGTCTAATGAGGGAGACAACATGAAAACAAATACATACAAAGCAATCTATATACAGGATAAACAGAAAATAATTAACAGAGAGAAGGCACTAGAATTAAGGTGTATTGGGTTGTAGAAGGTTGAATTTTAGTTGGGACTGAAAGGAAGACAGGGGAATCGTGCTGCCTACAAACATGTGCAAGTCTCCCCATCCTTAAAAAAAAAAATAAATCCTACTATTTCCTCTAGTGATCATCCTATATCTCTCCTCCCTTTCTTAGATAATCCTCTTGAAAAAATGTCTACACTTGATGTTTCCACTTCTCTTGTTGCTATTGTTCAGTCATGTCCAACTGTTCGTGGAGTTTTCTTGGCAAAGATACTGGAGTAGTTTGTCATTTCCTTTTGTAGCTCATTTTCCAGATGAGGAAACTAAGGCAAATAGGGTTAAATGACTTGCCCAGGGTCACACAGCTAGTAAGTATCTGAGGCCGGATTTGAACTTACAAAGATGAGTCTTCCTGATTCCAAGCCCAGGGCTCTATCCACTGTACCACCTAGCTGCCCATTGCCACCTAGCTGCCCACAGACAGCTCTTCTTTTATTGTCTTATAAACCCTCATAATTCAATTAGGACTGTTAACCAGTGATCTCTTCATTGCTAGATTCAATCACCTTTTCTCAATCTTCATCCTTCTGGATCCCCATTGCATATGACATTTGATGATGTTGACCACCTTCTCCACCTAGATACTCTTCCCTCTCTGGGTTTTTATGACACTGCTCTCTTATAGCTCTCTTCTCACCAGATTTTAACATTCCTCAGTCTCCTTTGCTGGATTATCATTGTCCACGTCATACCTCCTAACTTTGGGTTAATCCCTGGGTCCTCTTTTCTCTACATCCTTTTGGTTGACCTCATCATCTCCTATGTGTTCAGTTTTCATGTCTATGTAGATGATCCCCAGATCCCCAGATCCCAAAGTGGTGTGATGGATACAGTGCTGGACCTAGAGTCAGGAAGAGGTCAGTTCAGATCCATCCTCAGATACTTACTAGCTGTGTGACCTTGGGTAAGTTACTTAACCACTATTTACCTCAGTTTCCTTATCTGTAAAATGGGGATAATAATAACACCTACCTCCTAGAGTTGTTGTGAGGATCCAATGAAGAGGTATTTATAAAGTGCTTTGTAAGCCTTAAAGCACTTTGCCAATCCTAGCTGTTGTTGTTGTTGTTGTTATTATTATTATTATTATTATTATTATTATTATTATCTTAATCAGTTGCCAAATCTGATTGTTTCTACCTCCACAACACTTCTTGCATCCGTCCCTTTCATTTTATTCATGGCCCTGGTGGAGGCCCTCCTCACCTCTAACCTGGACTATTTAGCAATAGCCTTCTAATTGGTCTCCCCAAATTTCAATCCATCCTTCACAAAACTGCCAAAGTGATTTTCATAAAGCTCAGGTCTGATCATGTCAGTCCCCTATTCAGTGAACTCTAGCATTTCCCTGGGACCCAGTAAGTCCAGTGTTAGCTGTGTGACCATGGGTAAGTCACCACTTCCACTTGCCTCAGTTTCCTCAGTTGTAAAAGTGAGGGAATAATAACAGCACCTACCCTGAGGGGTTGTTGTGATAATATCTGTACAGTGTTTAGCGCAGTACCTGGCATGTGGTAGGCACAATATAAATGCTTAGTCTCTTCCCTTCCCTCCAGCCTTCCTCCTTCATTAGGCAATTAGGTGGTGCAGGCATGGAGTCAAGACAACTTAAGTTCACATCCAGCTTCAGCTACTTAATTAGCTATAGAACCCTGTGCAAGTCACTTACCCTCAGTTTCCTCCTCTGTAACATGAGGATAATAGCACCCACCTCTCAGGATCAAATGAGATATTTGTAAAGCATTTTTATAGCACATAGTAGGTGCTACATAGTTATTATTATTATTATTTAGAAACCTGGCTTTTTCCTGCTTTTCCAGCTTTATTTTTCATTACTCCTCTCCATGAATTCTACAATCCAGTCAAACTGTTTTCTTTGCTATTCTTTGCAAAGGAGAAGGGAACAAACATTTATTAAGCAATTACTAAGTGCCAGGCACTGTACTAAGCACTTCACAATATTATCTCATTTGATGCAACACTCTGTCTCCCATCTCCTTGTCTTTTCACTGGCTGAACCTCTTGCTGAGCATGCACTCTCTGCTTCTTGGGATCTCTAGTTTACTTTAAGACTCAGCTCAAGTGCCACCTTCTACATGGAGTCTTTCCTACTGTCCCCAACCCTCTCCTGCTGGGGCCTTCTCTGCACCCAGGTTGCTGTGTATCTACTTTGTATATGTTCTTTATATACTGCCATGCATACATTCTGTCTCCCCTTGAGAACAGGACAGTTTTGCTTCTGTCTTTTCATCCCCTGCCAGCCCCTGTGACAGTGCCTGGGACAGTAGGCCCTTAATAAAAACCTGTTTATTGACTGACCTTTCACAAGGCCTCCAAGGGGACATGTAGAGGGAGAAGATCAGCCCCAGTAAATTGGTATAATATGACAATGGCCTAAAGGCTATTAATAGAAACCCACAACTCTTTTAAAATAAGTTTTACTGATGCCTTTGCTTCTGTATCACAGTCCTTTTGGACATCCTTTTGCATCCAAAATGATCCCCCATTTTTGTTGCTCCTTGTAACAAAAAGCACCGTTAAGCCAACCCGATCAGCTGAGTAACCATGTCTGATCTTGTGTATAGCATTCCTTACCCATAAGCTTATATTTCTCACCCAAAGGGAAGGAGGTGCTGCCTCACCTTCTCTGGGGCCAAGATTAGATGTTGCAATAACTCAAAGTTAAAAAACAAGTTTGGCCCCAAAGAGAAAATAGAGAAGGCACCTCCCCCTACTCCTTTATAAAGGTGGGAAGTCCACAGGTAAGTGGAACATTGCATATATTTTCAGACTTTTTCAGTGTCAGGCAATCCACAAGCATTTATTAGGTGCCTGTTATATATCAGATACTGTGCTAAATGCTAATTGATGTGTTTTGATGATTTTTTCCCCCTGTTTTTGCTTTTCTTTAAAAATTCTTTTGTTATATGAAATGGCTTTTCTGGGAGGGGCAAGAAAAGAGATACTTGGAGAAATTTAAACAATATAAAAATAAGAGAGATTAATGAAAATTTATTTAAAAACAATTATTCAGAGTTATTTGTTTTTATATTCTTTTCACTTACTTTATTATATTCATTGTGTATATTTTTTCCATGGGTCTTCTTATTTCACTGTGCATCATTTCATACAAATGTTCCCGTGTCTCTGTGAATTTCTCATATTTAGCATAAAGCCCATATTTTTTAACTGGAAAATCATCTATTCCTTCCTGATTGTCCTGTTCCATAGTCCTATCTTAAAGGGAGGTGATCATGAATTCTTAAAGACTTGGCTGTAGAATTTAAGCTTGGGGGAGTTGACTTATCAAATTGGAAAGTCTGTCAGCATGAAATGCCTTGTCTAAGGCCCAGCCTCAACAAGTTCTAAAAGCTTCATCAACAAAGGGCTGGCCCACAGGTGAAGATGGTTTAACCACAGAAACTCATGAAGATTCTTCACTTAGATGAAAAAAGGTGGCCTGCGCTGATAAAAGTCACCAACTCCAAGATACTGGTCATGACCTACTTTACCTTTTTCTATTTTCTTTGCCCTCCTTCTTGCATAAACACAATTATTTGACCTCTTTACTCCTGGTCTCCAAGATGATTCCGTGGGTAAGAATGAGGGTTGCCCCTTTCTGTCTATACTGTGTGGTTCAAGATAATTTTTCAAAGAAATATAGTTGTGTATGGATCAATACATCAGTGCATTAAGAATCTACATTTTCTTCAGTGTGGAAACTCTACTCACACACATCTCTGATTGAAACCTGTCTATAACTTACTAAAAAAGTCTTTAGGAAGTCTCCTAAGACTTAAGAGGTTAAGTGATTGTTGGTCACGCATTAAGTCTCAGAAACAGGATCTGAACCCAGAGCTTCCAGGTCCAATACTCTATCGTTATGCCATGGTGAAAACAGATAAACCCCTCTCACTTCTGAAATAGTCAAAAGTACATGTGTGATTCACAATATCCATATCTTGAACCATGGGAATATTAATTATTCCCTGGAATAAAAGACCTATTTCCTAAAGGCCAACCCTCCTTCCCCCCACCCCCCTAAAAAAACCTCCAATTCATTGCAACAAACTTTTCTAACATTGAAGATACTATGCTGGGAATAGAAGGCCAAATTACCTTGTCATTGTGTTCTGCATTCACTGCCTTTGAGAAGATAGTGCCTATATTGTCACTATTTAACAGAGAAATGCTTTGCTTGATTTTTATTAACAAGGATGGATTTTTTTGGGAGGGGGGGAATATATTTTTCCCCCTTAGAGCTCTGGAAACACCAAGTTATGAAAGAAAATGTGTCCATTGTAAGGCCACAAATAGTTGAAATTTTTATACAGTGGTTAATGGAAAGTTACCAAGATGGTGAGCTGGAGGTATGTATTCACGATTAACCAGATTCTCTTCAACCTTTTTAAATACGGTGACCTCCCCTCTTCTCCACTTCTATACTTGAATTAGCATTATGTTTTATCCTAGAATGACAGTTTTGATAATGAGGTTGATCTGTATCAAAACAATCAAATGGCCCTCATTCTGGGGTTTTTTGTTTATTTTTTCTGTTTTAAATATTCCATTTCTAATCAAAAAAGGGGGGGAAATTGACGGCATGTGTTGGCCAGTTTCAGATTTGATCGAAGTTTTTGTAATTAACCACAGACCTCAGAGGTTTGAGTAGGCTTCTTTTTGGTGAAATGTGCTGTTCTAGTTCAGAAGACTTGGTGGAGAAAAGTGGGGTGAGAGAGGTTATTTGTATATAGAGGCACTGTACATATTATAGCCTTTGGGACCACTGACAAATAAAATATCAGGACTTTAAGAAGGTATGCATCCCTCATTTGTTAGAAATTTATGCATGATAATATAACTAGCATTTAAAGAGCACTTTAAAGTTTGCCAAGTTCTTTACATACCTTATCTCATTTGAACTATACTAAAGTTGTTACTATTATCTCCCATTTTACAAAGGAGAAAACTAAGGCTCAGTGACTTGCATATGATTTACACACAGGAAAAATTGGAAGCTATGTCTTCTATTGAGTGTCGTGTGTGTGTGTGTGTGTGTGTGTGTGTGTGTGTGTGTGTGTGTGTGTGTGTAAGGCACTGGATTCACTTTCCTTTGAAATTCCTTGCAACTTAACTTACTTAGCAAAACCTATTCTGGCTACCAATAACTATTACCATTAAGAAATAACTGGCCAAACATAGAGGTCTGCTGTCTTCTCAGTCACTTCCCAAGAGTTGTCAGACTTGACAACCCGTATCTACTTTTGATGATTCACATCAGGTCAAATGATACCACAAGGAAAAATGTAGAAATTGTGGGTAAGGTTTACAGAGATTTAGTTAAACAGCACGATATATGGGGGGGGGGGGCGAGGGGAGGCAGAGAGCGAGATTAAAGGCTGGGCTTGGTATTAAGGGAGAATGCAAGTCCAAATTTTGCCTCTGACACTTAATAGTTATATATGACCATGTACAAGTCATTTACTCTCTCAGCCTCAGTTTCTCATCTGTAAAGTGGGAATAATCATACCTGTATGTATTAAGTCCCAGGCAAAACAGAAGACCTTGTGGCCACAGATAGTGTTTTCATCACCATTGCCAAATGAAGGAAAGGGATTCAGGCAAATTTGGGGAGTAACTTCTGGCTAAGAAGATCGTGTTAGGGGGAATTTTAATTTCTAGGCTAGAGTTAAAAATGCAGGGTGTCCCCAAAGGTCTTAGAACAGTTTTAAGGAACTTAAAACTGCTCTAAGATTTTGGGGGACACCCTATGTAAGGATCTTGGTACTTAGCAGAAGAAGTACACCTTGGAGAGGCTGGTAGAAATATATTTGCCTGGAAGTTGGTAAATCCAGTTGAGAGGAAGTAATGGTGAGAGAGAAAACTGCCCTCTTAGATTGGACCAGTGTGGTATAACAGACAACAGCAGCTCCAACATGAAAAGGAAGAATAGTTAAAGAATGGATAAGTAATTCCTGGGAAACTATATTCAAGAAATGAGTTAACAATAAAGCTGTAGCCTCAGAGTCTATATACACATGCTCAGAATATCTGTAATATGGTTGACTCTGACACAGCCCTCATTAACTCTCCAATCTTAGACCTAGATGAAAGACTTTTTTCCCCCTTTTTTGGAGGGGTGGGCTAGACAGTGGGGTTAAGTGACTTGCCCAAGGTCACACAGCTAGTAAGTGTCAAGTGTCTGAGGCCGGATTTGAACTCAGGTCCTCCTGACTCCAGGGCCAGTGCTCTATCCACTGCACCACCTAGCTGCCCCCCAATGAAAGACTTTTTTACGAAAAAAGTGAAATGCATCTTCCCACTCAGGATTCCATGTGACTGTATTGCTGGGAGTAATGTAAAGAGGCTGGCATCATACCACATTCTGTAATAGTAGGAGGAGGAGTAGCAGGAGTAGCAATAGTAGCTGCAGCTGCTACTGACATTAATATAGCATTTGGCTTAGATAACTCTGCCTAAATAGACTTCCAGCGACACCAGGATATTGTCCTGATTTCAAAAACTGCATTAAAACCCCACATTTTAAAAGTTGGAGGTGGGGCTTATTATAAACATGCCTATTAGTCTGTGAGCTCTTTGAGGGCCGGGACTTTCTTTTACTTCCTTTGGGATCCCCAAGAGCTCAGCACAATGTGTGCCATATAGTAAGTCTTAATACATGTTTATTCAAAAGACTTATTAATAGGACTAGCTCAGGGCAGCTCAGACACATTTTCCAAATCGGTTCCCATTTTTCTCCAGGGCAAGAGCTAAGGCTGCTTTTGAGGTACTGGCCCTCCCTCTATGGGTTAATGTCTTTTTCAAAGGCACTGTAGATCTCACAGAGAAAGAGAGTGAAGGAGAAAGTAGGCATTGGGGGGCGAGAAGGAAGCTTGGTGGGCCAGACCTGAGTCTAGAAGCTTCTAGTAGGGAAACATGAGAAGCAGGACCAAGAGTAAGTACCATGAGCCATGTTCCACAGTGATGAGGTTTTTGAGACTTGGGCTCATAGATGCTAATAATCATCTCTTTCTTTTACAGATCACTTTCAAGAAAGACCACTTAGAGACTTGCCTCCTTTCCCTGGGTTGTGATGTGATGGCCAGAGAATGCAGCACCTTTGAGACCTATTCCACGTCTTATGAAAATCTGCTGCAGCAGGCCAATGAGATGCTCTACCAGAAGGAACCAGTATATTCATGGGACTGGAAGGGCCGTGTCTTCGGAGGAGGCTTGAAGAAGGGTACCACATATTAGCTTGCGAAAGCCAAAATAGCTGAGTGGCTTTTCTGCCGTGAAACAACTGGTGCTGAATGCCATTTCCATCCGGTTTTTTAGTGGATCTGTTTACTTTAAATCATAAGGCTCTAAGCTGCACATACCATTAATACTGGGGTCAGTTGGAGTGGGCTCATGGAAAAATGAACAGAGCGTGAGAAGAAAATATTGGGTTATGACAATCGCAGAAGTGAGGGGTAGAATTGCTATTCCTACCCCACCTCAGGAAGTACTGAGCCCTTCAGATAAAGGCCTATGTTTTGGATTTGGAGTCAGAAGTCCTGGGTTGAAGTCCCAGTTGGGCTGCTTGATAACTGTGATCATCTCTTAGGTCCTTCTCAGCTCCAGATCTAAGATCCTATGAACTTTGGTATTACTCCGCTCTCAGGGTTCATGCTCTGAAATGTCTTTGTAGTTGTTGTTGTTGTTGTTGTTTTTCAGTCATGTTCAACTCTCTGTGAATCTATTTTGGGCTTTTCTTGGCAAAGATACTGAAATGGTTTGACATTTCCTTCTCCAGCTCATTTTACAGATGAGGAAACTGAGGCAAACAGGGATAAGTGATTTGCCCAGGATCACAGAATTAGTAAAAGTATCTGAGGCCAGATCTGAACTCATGAAAAATGAGTCTTCCTAATTCCAAGCCCAGTGCTGTATCGACTGTGCAACCTAGTTGCCCTCTTATAAATGAGACTACCATATAATGGTGAGGTTCCAGGAAAGCTCACTTTATCTCAAACACAAATCTGTTTCAAACCACATCACAACAAGATACCAGTAAAATCTTAATACTCCCTCAAGAAAAATAAATAATTAGGAAAGTGAATCTATAACAGAAAAAAAAATTCAAATAATTCATACAAAAGCCAAAAAGGAATGACTTTTGGATTGTGTTCTATATTGGATTATCATGATAATTTCCCTTCACTAGAGAGGACAATTGAAAATTATCTGTGTTGCTGGGTGATGCCAGACACCAAACAGGCAATAAGCACAGACTGAAGTATTCAGAGCCATCATGCTCTGCAAAGAGTCTTGGAGTCAGCAGCATGAATTGGTGGTTTTTTGAACCAATGATAATGAATGAAAGAAGTTACATGCTTTGCTTGTTTTAATTCAATTCAACAAGCATTTATTGAGTGCTCACTGTAGGTTAAGCACGCTATTTAGGGGCTGGGGATAGAAAGACAAAATGGAAACAGTCTGCCCTCAAGGAGCCTACATTCTACTGAGGTCCACTGTAGTTGGTAAAGCTTATGGGAAGGACCTGTTTGGTATAATGAAAAAAGAATAAATTTGGGAGTTAGGAGACACAAGTTCTAATCCTAGCTCGGCTGTTACTTAGCTGTGTAGTCTTGGTAGTTTGATTTTCTTTCCCTGGGTTTCAGGTTAGGTTCATAGGCTCATAGATTTGAAGGTAAAAGAGGCCTTTGAAGTCTTTAAGCAACTAGATAGCAGGGCGGAGCCAAGATGGCGGAGTGAAAGCAGTGACTTGCTTGAGCTCTCCCCCAAACCCCTCCAAATACTCATAAAAAATGGCTCTAAACAAATTCTGAAGCAGCAGAACCCACAAAAAGACAGAGTGAAACAAATTTCCAGCCCAAGACAACCTGGATGATTGATAAGAAAGGTGTATTGCACCGGGCTGGGCGCGCAGGCCGCAGCGAACCCGGAGCAGGCCTCAGAGGACTGAATCTCGGGCAGCTGTGGAGGTTTCCAGACTCCTCAATCCACAAATGCCAAAGACAACTTAGAAGGTCAGTGGGAAAAGTCTGTTTCTGTTGGTGCTGAGACAGGAAGGTGGGATTTCAGTTTCATTCCCGAAGAGCATGGCCCTGGGCAAGGGGAGCTGCTTCCCGAGCTTCCGGCCCATAGGCTGAGGGGGAATCCAGTGGCTGATCAGAGAGGGACTGCAGGGATCTCTTTGCCAGTGCTGAGGACGGAATCTCTTGCTTTGCCCGTGTGTGGATCTGGGTCACAATTCTGGGCGGCAGTGCTGGGGTGAGGAGGAACGCTGGCGTGGTAGAGCTTGGAGTGGCTGTGGAGAGGAACCCTTCCTCACAGTTACAGGACAGAAAGGAATACTTGTGGTCACAGGCCAGGAAAGGAGTAAACACCCCGGCCCTTATCATACCACCTTGGAAGAACTGAAAATTTACAGGTCCCTACAAGTATCTCTGAAAACAGCTATACAAACCCCTGAAGCTTGGGACAATACATTCTCCACATTGGAAGCAGACTCTTACCTTAACAAAGAGTTTAAAACTCAAGTAATTGGCTGGGATCATGAGCAAGCAGCGCAAAAAGAGTCAGACATAGATCTTACTTTGGTGAAAAAGAAGATCAAAATATACAACCAGAAGAAGACAACTCAAGAAAAATATGAATCAGTCCCAGGCCTTGGAAGAGCTCAAAAGGGATTTTGAGAAGCAAGTAAGGGAAGTAGAGGAAAAACTGAGAGTGATGCAAGAAAATCATGAAAAACAAGTCAACAGCTGCTAAAGGAGACCCAAAAAAATACTGAAGAAAATAACACCTTAAAAAATAGCCTAACCCAAATGGCAAAAGAGGTCCAAAAAGCCAATGAGGAGAAAATGCCCTAAAAAGAAAATTGGCCAAATGGAAAAGGAAGTCCAAAAGATTACTGAAGAAAATACTTCCTTAAAAATTAGAATAGAGCAATTGGAAGATAGTGACTTTATGAGAAATCAGACACAGTAGAACAAATCCAAAAGAATGAAAAATTAGAAAACAATGTGAAATATGGAAAAACAACTGACCTGGAAAATAGATCCAGGAGAGAGAATTTAAAAATTATTGGACTATCTGAAAGCCATGATCAAAAAAAGAGCCTAGACATCATCTTTCAAGAAATTATCAAGGAAAACTGCCCTGATAATTAGAACCAGAGGGCAAAATAGAAATTGAAAGAATCCACAGATCTCCTCCTGAAAGAGATCCCCAAAGGAAAACTCCTAGGAATATTGTAGCCAAATTCCAGAGTTCCCAGGTCAAGGAGAAAATATTACAAGCTGCCAGAAGGAAACAGTTCAAGTACTGTGGAAACACAATCAGGATAACACAAGATTTAGCAGCTTCTACATTAAAGGACCACAGGGCATGGAATATAATATTCCGGAGGGCAAAGGAGATAGGATTACAACCAAGAATCACCTACCCAGCAAAACTGAGTATAATCCTTCAGGGGAAAAAATGGTCATTCAGTGAAATAGAGGACTTTCAAGCATTCTTGATGAAAAGACAGAGCTGAATAGAAAATTTGACTTTCAAATACAGGACTCAAGTGGAACATGAAGAGGTAAACAGGAAAGAGAAATCATAAGAGACTTATTAAGATTGAACTGTTTACATTCCTGCATGGAAAGATGATATTTATAACTCATGAGACCTTTGTCAGTATTAGGGTAGTTGGAGGAAAAAAATTATATGTATGTATATGTAGATAGATAGATAGAGGGCACAGGGTGAGTTGAAGATTAAGGGGTCATATCTGGAGAATAAAATTAAGGGATGAGAGAGGATTATACTCGGAGAAGAAGAAAGGGAGAGGTAGAATGGGGTAAATTATCTCACAAAAAAAAACAGAAAAGAAAAGTCTCTTACAGTGGAGGGGAAAGGGGGAAGGTGAGAGAATGAGTGAATCTTATTCTCATAGGATTTGGCTTAAGGAGGGAATAACAACACATTCAATTGGGTATGGAAATCTGTCTTACTCTACAGGAAAATAGGGGGAGAAGGGGACAAGAGAGCAGGGGGATGATAGAGAGGAGGGCAGATTGGGAAAGGGTGTAATCAGAAGTAAATACTTCTGAGGAGGGACAGGGTCAAAAGAAAGAATAGAATAAATGGGAGGGCAGGATAGGATTAAGGGAAATAGAGTTAGTTTTTCACAACATGTCTACTATGGAAGTGTTTTGCATAACTGCACATGTACAACCTATACTGAGTTGCTTGCCTTTTCAATGAGGGTGGGTGGGGAGGGAGGAAGAGAGAAAATTTGAAACCTAAAGTTTTAAAAGCATATGTTTAAAAAAAATGTTTTCACATGCTACTGGGAAATAAGAAATACAGGAAATGGGGTACAGAAGTCTATCCTGCCCTACAGGAAAATAGGAGGGGAAGGGGATAAGAGAAGGGGGAGAGATAGAAGAGAGGACAGACTAGGGGAAGGGATATTCAGAATGCATGCCATCTTGGGGTGGGAGGAGGGGGGAGATTGGGTATAAATTTGGAATTCAAAAACTTGTGGGAGTGAATGTTGAAAGCTAAAAATAAATAAATTTATATTAAAAAATTTTTTTAAAAAAGCAACTAGGTAGCAGATAGGCAGTTAGATGGCACAGTGGATAGAGCCCTGGACTTGGAGTCAAGAAGATCTTAGTTCAAATCCAGCCTCACACTCTGGCTATGTGACCCTGGACAAATCATTCAACCTTGGCCTGCCTCAGTTTCTTCATCTGTAGAACAGGGATAATAACAGTGCCTATTTCCCAGGGTTATTGTAAAAAATAAAATGAAATAATATTTGTACAGTGCTTTTCAAACCTTAAAGCTTAAACCTTTAAGTGCTACCCTTTTGTTTTTAAGACCAACCCCAATATTTTACAGCTTTTTCATCTTACAGATCATCATTGGACTCAGTAACCTTTGAGTCCCCTTCGAACCTTTACATTCTTGCCCTGATGTTTTCCTTGTTTGTTGTTGTTTGATTTCTAGGAAATGAATGCAGTAAGAACAGCCCAAAGTTCACGTGAAGAAAATGTTCATTAGGTTGGTTAGGTGCCACTCAACTCCATTTCTCTTCTCTCTGGGCTGGCCTATAATAGGTATTTTTGAGTAGAACTGTGCCTTTTTGGATTGTAGACTCCCCAGTGACCACCAAAATGATGCAATAACATTTGGTAACTCAAAAATTGGAGAAATGCTCATAGCAGGTCATCTTTTGCTTCTGCAAGTGACATTCATTGGAGGCCATTGAGAGCAGGCTTCCTAACCACATAGGTTAGTGTGTATTTGACCTGAGGAGTTGAAAACAATTTAGAGATGCACGCACTAAAAAAGAAAGACAAAGTCACAGCTATTATTTTTACAACAGCGGGGGGGGGAATAAAAATCACTGAACCCATTGGTTATTTTGGCCTCTTGTAGATGTAATCTTAGCTCTTCTGTCTGGCATCTTATACAACTGGAAATTCTCCCTGTTCATACAAGGTTCAAAAGATAGTTTTCATTAGGCCATTTAGTCTCAGGTCTCCGGTTTCTGTGGTTCACAAAACAGCTCTATGTAAACTATTCGGTTACTGCTGTTGGACATTTCTAAGCCATCATCCTGTTCTTGAAACGTCCTGTGCTAGGTAGCAGGGCTGGTGCAGGATATGATCTTGGAAATCACTGCTCTCAGAGCCAGACTCATGGATCTAGAAGATGAGAGTCTCCTCCTCAAGGAAAAGATAAGAAAAGAAGTCCAAGAGGAATAGGAAGCCTTAGTTCGAGCCTTATTTGCGACCTGTTTACATATCTAAGTAGGTATATCCTAGATCCTAGACAACAATTTCTGAGTGGTTTCCTTGTTTCAATGGAACCCCAGGTGTAGGGTAGTGCCCAGATGAATTATCTAGTGTGAGGTTATAAATTAATAGAATTTTAGGCCCAATAACACATTATCTCCTAAATCTGTTTGCCAGAGAGAGAGAGAGCAAGAGAGAGAGAGAGAGAGAGAGAGAGAGAGAGAGAGAGAGAGAGAGAGAGAGAGAGAGAGAGAGAGAGAGAGAGAGAGAGAGAGAGATCAACAATATCATTTCCTATAATAAACCTTTTTTGTCCCTTTATTTAGATCAATCAGTCAATAAGTATTTACAAAGCATTTACTTTTGGGCCAGGCATTGGGGATATAAACACCAAAAGAAAAATTAAGGGGTTTCTTTGTGTTTTTTTAAAATGTTTATACTACCAATCTTCAATGAAGTGGTATCCTTCTCTGCTATCTGATTTTTTAAGGGGCCGCTGTAAATATTCAGTATGTTGGCCTCTTGGTCTAATCTGGCACAATTGGTCCAAAGAAGTGCTTTTTAATGGGTCAGACTTCAGCATGTGAACGCAGCCTATCTACAAAGCTAAATTGCTAGTCTTGTAGACTTAAAATACCAGGCAGCCTTAAGCAGTCTTCTCAACTGATTCCTCTGAACCCGGAAGGCACATTTTGCCGAAAGGAAATTGCACTGGTTCAGTGGAAAGAGCCTTGGATCCAGTATTAGGGGACTTGCATCCTGGCTCTGTCCCTTATTCTTTATGTCACTTTAGGCACTTCTGATTGTAGGTTCTCTGTTCTGCAAAATGAAGGGGTTTGATTAGATGGTCTTTAAGGTGCTTGCCAACTCTCAGTCTAACTCTGATAAATTTCAAAGCTCTAAGCTCTCTAGCTCATGCACAACAATACAAAATGCCTCATGAATTATGCCTTTTGGCTGAAATCATTATTTGAGCCCGGTCTGGGGAAGGCCAGATACCCACCCCATCCCCCCAATCCCCAATGGCAACACATTATTAACCACTCTTTGCTCGGCAGGAGAAATTGGATGAGCATCAGCTTAAAATGAGCTGGAAAGTGTGTGATCTCATCAGTGAAGTGAGAAAAGAAGGGGTTGACAGTATGATTGATTTGAAGAAAAAAATTGGCTTCAGCAAAGTTGCTAATGGATTGAAAGAAAACTTAGCCAAAGTAAGTGATTTCATTTAGTGCAAGGATCTGAATATTTCATCCCAGCGTTCGTCTCTGTAGCTCACTCAGTTTGTCCCACTTGGGTTCCTTTTTTTCCCAGAAGCATGGCATTCAGTATTTACTCAGCCCTCTGTCTTGAATGCATGACTGTGACAGTCCTCTCGGGGGAAGGGCTATATCTGCTACTGAAAGTTAAAGTCTTGACTTTTGCTGAAAGTAAATAGGGATCATGTCCCTTCATTTGCAGGAGTAGATTCAGGCCCTACAGGAGGAAAACAGGTGACTGGAGGAGCTGGTGTGCAAGGTGAAGACCATAAGCCACTGGAAACTAACTGTACAACAGCAGCAGCTCCAGAGACAGCTAAGAAATGCAGAGAAGGTGAGCAAGCCGGAGCAAGACAGCTTAAAAAAGATTACAGCACAGGAGGCATTAATTGCCTTTTTGGTTCATGATTGCCATAGGTATCATGCTACCAACCAAATGTAAGGATGGCTTTTTTCTGTAGAAATCAATATTCTTGTTGAAGGAAGTCTGATGAGTGCAGGAGCAATCTCCTGGCCTCAAATCATGGAGGGAAGACGCAAAACCTACTAAATGCCATTGTCTTGGGAGAAATGGGAGAGGAGCTATAGGCAGCAAATAATAGGGAGAGAAAATTGGAGAGTTTGATATCAGAGTGTGAAGAGGATGAATGGGAATGATCAAAGAAGAAGAAAGTCATGGAGAGACTTCAGCAGTGCTTTAGCAGGTTATTTGTCCAAAAAGCTGTCAACACATACATATCTTCTGAAGTGGCTTACTTCATCTGTGTCCTTTTATGAAGGAAGTAAAATTACAAAAAAAATCTTCTAAAGGACAGTGAATTTAAAACACAAATTGATAGTGACTTGGGGTTATTTCCATTTCCCATTTTGACACATTTCTCATGGATACTTATCTGTGTCATTATTTACACACTCTGGAAACAGGTTCTGAGAGTAAATTCTGGGAACTGGAAACATGAGTCAGTTCTACAGACCCACAAGGAGACAAAGATTAAGTAACTTGTGAAGAATAAAAATACTGAAATGAAATTTCTTTACCATCTGTTTGGTGATTCATAGGAAGGTACGCAAAGCAAAAAAAAATATTTACGAATCAAGATAATGGCAGAACACAAGAGCATTTTACTACAACAACAATTACTGGCTTTAAGGAAGGCTCTGGCCAGATCTCAAGCAGAGAATGTGAAGATGGAGAAGCAGCTTGACAAGCAGGTACCTGAGACTCTGTCACATCCTCCTCCCTGGGTCTCTGCCTGGGGCTGGATTAAATGACTTCTAAGGTATCTTCCTATTTTGGCATTTTAGGATACTTATGATTTGTCCAGAAAGTGTCATACCAAATCAATCAGAACTACAAACAGCATACTATAAGGTTTTATAGCAACATGATCAATGACAGTATTTAGCATTAGAGATATTGCCTGAAAGAGGATGAATACCCAGGTTCTCTCATTCCTTCATCTCTCTCTTTTTCTATTCCTGACTCAGAGAGGAATTATGGATGCAAGGCATCTGTCCCTTATTCCAAGTATTTGGCCAAAAATAATTAATGTACAGGGATCTCCCTTCCCCTCTACCTCCCAACAACCAAAAAAAAAAAGGCCAGGGAGGGAATAATCAGCAATATGTAAGGCAAGCTTAGAAAAAGCAGATGAACTTTAGGCATTCCATCTAAGAAGTGAGTCTATCCATCCTGGGCATGAAGCAATGAGTAGGACAAAATAAGTTGAGCAACTTTATAGCCCTTTGAGTCCATTCCTCAGCATTTTGTTTCAAGTGACAGTAGAATAGTGGAAAGAATGATGCCCTTGAAGTCAGGAGATCTAGGCTCAAATCCTTGCTTTGACATGTATTAGCTATGTGACTTTGGGCAAGTCACTTGACCTTTGAGTCACAGTTTTCTTCTCTGCCAAATGATGATACTATAACTTACAGACCTACCTCATGGTGTCATTGTGAGGAAAACACTTTGTAAACTTTAAAGGGCTATAGATATAAATAGGAGCTAATAAGTTTAAAAAAAACCTCCTGGTACACTAGACATATCTAAATTTAAAACATCAGTAGAAAAAACAGCCAAAGAGAAGTAGCCATTTTTGTATCCAACATTTTGGATATCCCTTTAACTATGGAAATTGAGTTGACTACATAGTACTTAGCATTGCAGTTATGAAATTTTGCAAAGCCTCTTTTTTTCTTATTGTAACAAGAACCTGACTTACACAGAGTTATTCAGAGACTCAGAAGCAGAGCCAAGATTAAAACTCCCAGTCCTTCATGCTATCCTGCTGCTAAGGACAGTGAGTGCATCATCCTGATTTCCATAAAATGCTGCATTCTTTGTGTTATTGTGATTGAGTTTCTTATCCATTTTATGCACTCTTCAGGTCAACCAAAGCAGCCTTCCTTCTGCTCTTCACACGAGACATTCCACTTCCCATTTCTGTATTTTTGCATACACCCCATACCTGCATACTACTTCTCAAAACCCCACATATGCTCTGGACACCCTGTACTCCTCTGTCTCTTAGAATTCCAAGTTTCCTCCAAAGTGCAGCTCAAAGACTACAGGAGATCGTTCCTCATATACCCAGCTGCTCCACCCTAAAAATTACCTTGTATTTACTTGGGGTGTGTGTGTGTGTGTGTGTGTGTGTGTGTGTGTGTGTGTGTGTGTGTGTGTGTGTGTGTGTAAAAAAATATATATATGTGATATATATATATATATACATATATATATATATAGCACTTATATGTATACATGTTGTTGTCTCCTATTGAATGTAAGCTTCCTGAGGGTAAGGACTGTTTTATTTGTCTTTTTATTCTACATACCTATCACAGTGCCTGATAAATGCCTAATAAATGCTTGTTGATTACTGAAAATGGAAGCACATGGTATTCACTTACAGAGTTTAAACTCTAATTTCACCTACATATAGCTGTCAGATTCTGGAATTTTAAAGGTAGACTAGATTCTATTAAATACCACATATAGTGTTTGATTGGTAGGCAGCTAGGTAGTGTAGTAAATAAAGTATTAGGCCTGAAATCAGAATTTATCAATCAGATTCATCTTTCTGAATTTAAATTTGGCCTCAGACACTTCCTAGATGTGTGACCCTGGGCAAGTCATTTAACCCTGTTTGCCTCAGTTCCCTCATTTGTAAAATGAGCTAGAGAGGGAAATGGCAAATCAGTCTACTATCTTTGCTAAGAAAACCCCAAATGGGGTCACGGAGAGTCAGACACAACTGAAACAACTGAACATGTGTTTGATTGCCTTGATATAATTTTCATTTTATTTTTCATCAAATACTTGTTCAGAGCCTATATTATCGAGTGATAAAATTAATACTTGTGTTGCCCTCCTAATAATGACTGAGTGAAATGACAAGACCACAGAAAGGTACAACTTGTGAACTGGAGGTCTATGATCCTGTGAACTGGAGAGATAAAATTCCTTCAATGTACACCTTGAATTTTGAGTCCAATGGTTCAGCTGGCAATTAGCAAATGCAGGCATGCACCAACTCTCAGTTTTCTGCAGATTTGGCAAAGGTTGTTATTTTTACAGCCATTTTCAATCACGCTTTGTATTTCCCTGATTTAGAAACAGATGTTGAAAGAATTTGAATACAAAATGACCCATGAAAATCTAAATAGGCAGCAGTTGGATGTGATGAAAACATCCAGCATGGAGAAATTCTTGGAAGACATAGAGAAGAAAGAACAAAGGCCCTATCTTCTCACTGAGGAAGTAGAAAGGTCTTCTAAGATGGGCCAACTCCAACAAAAGAAAATTAAGAAAGAAATCCAACAGGTAACCTCAAATTAGAGGAGAGGACCACTAAAAAGGGCCTTAACGTGTGTTATCAAGAACACTTTTCTTTTTGGATTTTTCTCATGACCCCCTCTTTTGCTCCTTGACACATTTAATGATTAAAAAAATATTTCACAGGAGCTGATCATGGATCTAGAGTGAAAAGGGCTGCTGGCCCTTAAAGACCATCTAGTTCAACCCATTTGGTTCAACAGTTGAAGAAACTGAGCTCAAATAGCATCTGAGCCAAGACATGAACCAGATTCTATGACTCCTGAATCAGAACAAGTAGTTTGGGAGATCCCATAAGAGTATAGGAAATATAGAGTCAAAAATGAAAGAAAAGGCACAAGGGTGGGGAGAAGAGGATTATGATATGCTCATACAAAATATATAGCACCATAAAAAGGTCACAGATCTTACAATTTGGGTTCTAGAAGGATCATTGATCATGAGAAATGAAAGGATTAGATAAATAATTCAACAGGCACATTTAAGTGATTTGTCCAAGATTAATTGGTGGCAAAATTAGGACCAGTAGGATATGATAGAAGACTGTGGGTATCAATTTATAGAAAACCTATAGGGAGACCAAAGAGTTTAAGCTGACAAGGAAATAAAAAGTGAGAGATCATAATAAGAACAGAATAAAATGAAATTAGTATCTGTGATTTTAGAACATCCATGAAGATGATCAGAAGGAAAATATTGCTAAAGATAAGAAATAATCAACATATTTCTATATCAAGATATAGAAATAAAATCAAAGAGAGTGAATTTTAGGAATAAAACTAATGAACGGTTAGGAAGAAGAAGGCTTTAAAAAGTGGTGCCCCCAGATAGAATTTTCTTGTTTGCTTTATGAAAACTAAGATATTATAAGAGTAAATATTAATAAGAAAGATTAAGAACTAGATCTTCAAAGTCTTTGTTATAAGTTGAACTACAGAATCCTAGGAGGGAGGGCAAACTAGTGATGACAACTTCAAAGCTTTTTCTAGTTTATTTTGACACAAATTATTAGATAGTGGAACAGATAGACTTTTCTCAATAGGTACAGTCAAAGCAGGAATTTTTAATAAGAATTCCCATCTTTCAACCCACTTTCCTAATACAGGCATAAATTACAATACATACAAACATTACCTTAATCCACTCAATGACCATTTATTAAATGTACAAGCATGGCCAAATGGCCAAAAATTCAAAGTCCCACCTCTAATTCATACTAGCAGTATGACCCTGGACAATTCCCCTAATCAATCAGTGACTTGATATTTGTTGAACTGAATTACTCCTGGGGTTAGCTGCAAACCTTGCCCATGAGATGGTCTGTGATGATAGAAGAACATTTAGCATACCTACAAATACATGGTTCACCTTACTGCATATACCTAAATGAAATGATGCTGAAAGTATTAGGAGTGTCTTTATTTCTGTATAGGCAGGTGAATTCTCAGTGGAGTCTTAAGGAGAGTAGAAACAAAGATAAGGCAGGTTATTCTGACTGTGTGAAAGAGTCTGAGCAAGAATTCAGGGGAAAAATGGCAACATGAGCTTGTGGTTCATTCAGCCTGTGAATGGGTTGCATGAAAAAGGCAACAGCTTTTGTAGGAAATTAATTCATTGGCCCTAGAACTTGCCAAGACCCCTAACCTAGAAATAGTCTTCTCAGATAAATTTTGGCAACAGAAACAACTGAGTTGTATGATTAAAAAAAAAACCAAAAAAACAACCACATCGAACAGTATGGCCGATGTCCCCAGGATGCCTCCCTCTTGGATATGACTATATTTAGTTAATACTACTCAGCATGTTGCTGGCCAGAAATAACAAAAGGTGGAATCGAACCAGAAATTGAAAATATCAATAAGCCATTTCAAGGAATGCCTCACAAAAATGGGAGCAGCCATAGGAATTGTTGATACCAACAGGGTATCCAAAGGGTTTTGAAGATGGGCTAAAGAGAAGAGTAGCTAGCTTGTTTAGTCAGTCTGGAAAGTAGTACGGTGATGATCTCTTTCCAGTCCTTAACCCTTATTATGTCAAGGAGACTCACCCTTAACAGTAGTTCTATACAAGGGAGAGAGACTTTGGGATTGTAAAGGCAATACTATGATTGACAGTAGGTTAGAGATGGGTGAGGTTAAAGGGACAGGGAAGGATGGTATTGTTACTAATAAGTTTGGAGCTACAGCAGAGTGCAGAGTCCTTGACCACAATTTCCTTTGACTTTATATATTAAATGAAAACTTGCAGGATGTGACATTGTTGAACAAAAGAGCTTCCTTGTTTCTCTGGACAAGTCTCTTCAGGAGATGTGTCAAGTTCATCATAATGAATGTAAAATTATACTTAAGCCTTGGAATCTGGCATAGGGAAGAGGTAAATAATTCTTTGCAAGGATAAGTATTACTTATTTTCATTAACTTTTCACTTGTTTCTTACCTTCATTACTACATCCATTGGCATCAGAATTGTTTATTTAATGTAGCTAAGCAGGAAAGGGAATAACATGAGAACCTTGTATCAGAATCCTTGGCATAAATGAAGATGCTAGCAGCAACCACTGGTAGATATGCATCCTTTAGGTGACCTAGTTCTCTACTTATTCTGGAGAAAGAGCCACTAACCTGTCACGAGCCTTTCAATCCTATGGCTGGGATTGGGCAAGCTGGATACCCAGGGACTGTCTGCTAGAGTGCCAGGCACATAACAGAAATCACTAAACACTGTGGTGTTTAAACATAGTGACTGTCCCTACTAGTTCAGGCTTTTTTGAGGTACCACTAAAAAAAAAATCCCAAACCCACCTTCTCTGTAGTCAAATAGAAAGCCAGCGGCAACCACAGAAATCAACACATACTAGTGGTTTTATCCATCCTATTGTATCCACTCCAATTGTGGCATACCCATCTCAGCCACTGCATTGTAAAGACATTCCACTGTTCCTCTGCTTCTAAAAAGATTCTTCATGTCCTAGAGCACTTACCCACTGAAAGGCTTGTGTGTGGATCCCAGACCCAAAAGAATTTTCATGAACATTTGCTCACTAGTTAAATGAGAACTGCAAGTGAAAAAATGTCTTATTTCCCATAAAACATATATTTATGTGATTTATCTCATCTTATCAGATAAGCCAACTTGCCCAAGAAAGAAGTTTAAAGTTGGATGCATTCCAGCGAGTGAATGAATTGCAAAGTCAGCTTTATGATATAGAAAGTGCATCAATCCAAATAAACTCACTGGGAGGTAAGAATTATTTTTTTCTACCAGAAAAACTTGACTTTGGGATTTTTTTTTAGGCAATTGGGGTTAAGTGACTTGCCCAGGGTCACACAGCTAGTAAGTGTCAAGTGTTTCGTCTGAGGCCAGATTTTAACTCAGGTCCTCCTGACTTCAGGGCCGGTGCTCTATCCACTGAGCCACCTGGGAGCCCAACTTTGGGATTTTAAAGTAAGGGAAGTTAACCATCTGAGAAAGTCCAATACAAGGCTTTCCCATTATACAGTCACACTTGGCTTTTGGCTTTTTTTTTAGTTGAGGTTCCCTCACCTAAGTTTATATAAAATTTTATTATATAAAGTAGTATTTAAAGAAGATTTGGTTCTATAAAATCAAATTTATATCCCTGGAAAGTTGGAATTGAAATGTCTAGCTCTACCGAGGTACTAAACCAATCAGGCTAATGGCAGGTTGCTTTCCAAATCCATTGAAATTATTGAATTTGAGACTACAGAATTACAGATCTAGAACTGTAAGGTACCTCAGAGAATATATGAAAAAAATTCTCTTATTTTACAGATGAAGAAAATGAGGCTTAGGGAGGCAATATGCCAGCCATGTCAAAACAGTAACCAAAATGGCAGTCACAGCACGTTTAGGGGCTATCAAAAAAAGTAGACAAATGTATGTGAGTGATACTGCTAGGGAATGCACATTGGAGAGAACATTTCCTGGCAGTCCAGGAATCTGGTCATTCTAGGACTGTGTGACCTCGGAGTCACTTAACCCCTTATGTCCTGTTACATCATTCATAAAATGGGGTGGAAAGGGTATACTAGAGAATCCACAAATGTCTCTTCCTAATTGTATGATCTTATGACCTCTCTGGCCCGCAACTACCTCATCTATTATTGAAATCTATAAGATGAAAGGATTATTATTACTTTATTATTATTAGTAAAATACTAATAATTCATAATATTCTATTATTCTAAGCACCAACATTCTGTGACTATGAACATGCTAGATAAATGTACTAAACATATGCCTGTTTTAAAGACAAATATAGAACACTGGTGAGGCATCATGATCTAAGTGGGTAGAGGCTGGCCATGGGAGTGGGGAGGCCTGAGTCAAAGTCCAGCCTTTGACATATGGGCTTTACCTTCTCAGTGCCAGAGGTAACTCACAAGACTATAAATTGTAGAACCATTGATGATCTGTATTGGTAGAAGGAATTCCCTCACCAACAGTTCCTCTATATGTATGAAATGAGATACAAACCATTATGCCACCCTCAAAATAGAAAGCTCAGGTTTGGTTTTATTGCTGTATTTTATATAAATATGCATTTAATGCTTTATCGATGTACATTTTCACTACTTCTTAAAACATATACATGACTTCTTAAGACATACATGCCTGACAAATGTGATTCTAAGCAGCAAGGAAAAGTTCACATTCGCTGGGATTACTCAGTTAATAGATAAGAGGGGCAGAAAGAAAATAAGAAAATATATTCTCTCCTCCTATAATCCTTATTTCCAGTAGAACTTGGGGATTGAAAGGAATTCAGCCATTGCTTTGAGGCCTTGAGGGTGTTTGAGAAAAAAGCTGGTTGGAGACCATGGCTATGACCTGCGTATAAGTTTCTATCTGGATGTCTCAGGTAGTAGTAGCCTTTTGATCTGCTGGGTGTCCTTTGAAAAATACTGAAACATTTATATCTTTTTTAGGAAAATGTGCCATTGGTCCACATAGGTTGGGGGGGAGAAGACAGCAAAACCATCACGTTGCCCTTCAAAAGAATATAGCTGAGGAATCAAAATAAAATTCTCTCTAAAACTAACATGGGGGATAAAAATGAGATAGAAATAGTATGTGGTTATTTTCAACTAAATCCAAACATTTGTTAAATACCTACTCTATACAACCTTCACTTTTACTTCTTCCTGCAAGTAGCAAAAAGCTGTTTGTTCCTTCCTATTTTGTCTTCAGTACCTTTTCAGGTCAAATTCTGTACCAGGTCCCCAGTGCCTTTGTACCTACTCTCCCCTCTCCAGGAATTACCATCACTGCTAACATTCAGGACGGAAAAGAACTGTCACTAGCTGGCTGAGCACTACAGCCTTCTCAGACTTTCCTTTCCCTAACACCTGCCTCTTTGTCGTCTTCTTGTTTTCTTACTTCCATACCAATCATTGCTGGTGTTTTCTGTCAATTCACATGACCTAGACTGTTTAACAGAGCAAGAGTTAATTAATGCTTTATCATGAGAGAAGTGGATTGAGCTTTATGAAATTAAGTGGTTAGAAAAGAATTATAAATATGAACACAATGTAAATATCTTTCATAACCAAAAAAAGTAGGTTATAGTAGGGGAGGATAGAAAGAGTTTGTAGTCTAAAGCAGGGGTTCTTAACCTGGGCACCTTGAACTTCAAAACACATATTTTGATAACTGTATTTCAATGTTAATTGAATTTCCTTTGTATTCCTACGTAGTTTAAGCATTTTAAAAATTATTCTGACATGGAATTCACAGGTTTTACCAGATTCCACAGGACTTCATGATACACACCAAAAAGCTTAAAAATCCCTGGTGTTGAGAGTTTAGGTATATAAGCTGTGACAGAAGGCAGGACTTTTTTCCAAAATTGGAAATCACTCCCTTACCATCACAGAATGTAGTCAGTACTTGAGGGAAGGACTGGCTTTTTTTCCTTTTTCCCCCAGCTAAGTGGTAAGTAGCCAAAGATGCTGCCCTATAGAAGTCACCACTTTGGATGATTCCATTTTTGGCATTATGTATTACATCAAAAAGAAAAGTAAGCAATGCAGGTATTAGTTCCAGAACTGGTCACATGTGTGGTTAACAGAGGGTGTCCTAGCTGGTCCATACTCTAGTCCAATACACAGAAAATGGATTCAGTTCTGCAATTATTATTAAGAATGTATCATACACTCGATATTGGAGATATAAAGACTGAAACAAAATAACCATGGCTCTCAAGGGGCATACATTGTATAGAGGGTATATAAGACATGAATAAGTAAGGAAAAACAAAGTAATGTCAAGAGGGAGAAACTGCTAGTAATTGTGGGGCAGGAATCAAGAAAGGCCTCTTGTGAGGGGGGGTACCAGAGTTGTGCACTGAAGAAAACTAAATAATCTACCAGGGGAAGGTGAGGGTATTAATATGAAATAAGCCTAGAAAGTCAAGTAGAAGCCAAACTTTGTGGGACTTTAATTGTCAGGGTAGGATTTTGTATTTTATCCCTAGAGACACTGAGAGCCACTGAAGATTTCAGGGGGCTGGGATTGGGGGGACAGGAAGGAAGAGTTGACTCAAGATGTGCTAGTATCTTACTGCATTCCTGACAGTTAACAAAGGAAGAAAATTATTCTATTATTCTGATTTTATTTGCACCCACAGCTCCAAAACATTGGTAAAAGGTGCCCAGTTTTGTAACTAAGCTGAGTTTCATTATCAGCTCTATGCAGATAGTACCCAGATCCACATTTCTAATCTCAGTCTTTCTCTCTTGACCTCCACTCCTGCACTGCCAATTGCCTATTGGACATTTCAAACTGGATGAACCAGTTTGATATCTACTCAAATTCAGCTTGTCCAAAACAAAATTCATTCTCTTTCCCCCTAAACCCACCCCTCTTCTACACTTTTTGAGCACCACTGTACTGTCGCTTTAGTTGTCCAGGTTCCCAACCAGTTCATAGTCCTCTCCCTTACCCCACATATCCAATTAGTTGCCACATCTTTATCTCTATGTCTCATATCTGGTCCCCATTTCTCTAGCAGGAAGCCACCAACTTAGTTCAGACCCTCATCTCTCACCTGAGCTATTGCAATAGCCTTCCATTTGGTCTCCTTGCCTCAGGATTGTCCCCACTTCAATCTTGTACTTTAGTTTCCAAAATGATTTTTCTTACATACAGGTCTGACTGACCATGTGCCCTCCCCCCCTCCCCCCCATACATTCCAGTGGCTTCCTATTACTTCTAGGATGGAATTTAAATTTAAATTCTCTTATTTAAAGCTCTTTATAACCTGGCCTCAACACACCTTTGCAGCCTCATTATTCAAGGTGTGCCAAAAGTCCTAGTGTGCTTTTTTAAGCTAACACAGATAATGCTATTAAAAAGCTATTAAAGCTTTTTGGGACATCTTCTACATCTGTGGTGTCAAAACTTAAAAAAGAGAAACAGAACCACTAAAACCATACCCAAGGATCCCTGTGAGCTGTCTACTGACTTAGGAAACTGCAAATTAACAGGTAAGTTTTACTGGGGTTTTTTTTAATTATTTTGTTAAGTATTTACTAATTGCATTTTAATCTGGTTCAGGCCACACTGGGGAATGCTGTCTGCAGGCCCCATATGTTTGACACCTTTGCTGCACATTACTCTCTAACACTCTACTATCTACACAAATGGTTCTCCTTGCTATTCCTCTCACATTATATCCCACTTCCCATGAATGGAATGCACTCCCTCCTCACCTCCACCTGTTATAATCTCTTATCTCCTTCAAGAATCAACACAAGCACCTTCTACATGAAAGCTTTTCCTGATCCCCACCGCTAATTCCCTTCCTCTCAAAACTACATTGTTTTATTTATATATATATATATACATATATATATATATATATATATACACATATATATATATATACATATATATATATATATATACACATATATATATACACATATATATACATATATATATATATATACATATATATATACACACATACACACACACACACACACACTGCACATACACACGCTGACCTTCTCAACTACCCTTAATAATATAGGAGCTCCTTGAGATCAGAGATGGTTTCATTTTTACTTTGTACTCCCAGCAATCAATAAATCCTAATGATAGATAACCCCAAGGCAAGTTAAAACCTTTAGTTAATCTATAAAATGATGAGGAAAAAGGGTAAAAGTCCCCCCCCCAGTTGAATTAGTGTGCTCCGTATGAAAATGGTAAATGCATTGGAACCTGAGGTCAGTTCATAATCAGTGTCATATTAAACATTGCAGGTCTTACATCATGGGCTAACTATACTCGAAGTTCTGTCTCTACTCCATGCAGATATTCCCAGCAATACCTTTTAAAGTCAGATCCTAAAAGCAGTGAAATAAAAAGGATTCAAAGGCCAAGGACTGTAAGTAATGAACCGCTGCCCACACTATCTGTCTGAACCTTTTTTTTGCACCTAATAGTATTTTTTTCCAATTACATATAAAGAAAGTTTTCAAATTCATTTTTGTAAGATTTTGAGTTCCAAATTTTTCTCCCTCCCTTCCTTTCCTCATTCCTCCCCAAGACAGCAAGCAATCTGATAGGTTATACATGTACAATCATGTTAAACATTTCCATATTGATCATGTGAAAGAAGAATCAGAACAAAAGGGAAAAATCATGAGAAAGAAAAAACGAAACAAAACAAAAAGTAAAAATAGTATGCTTCGATTGCATTCAGACTCCATAGTTCTTTCTCTCGATGTGGATTAGTATTTTCCATCACGAATCTTTTGAATTGTCTCAGATCACTGTATTGTTGAGAAGAGCCAAGTCTATCATAGTTGATTATTGCACAATACTGCCGTTACTGTGTCCATGTTTGAACCTTTTCAAGAATAACCTTTGCCTATCTATATACACACTGCCACCTTGCTGGTTCAGGCCTTCATCACTCATCTTGGATTATTAAACTCTTGATATTCCTGTTGTCCTCTCCAAGTCATCCTACAATGGCTTCTGACTAAATAATCTTCCTAAGGCACAGGTCTAACAATGTCATTCCCCTGCTCAAAACTCTACATTCCCAGCATTGTTACGTACTACCCTGCTTGAGGAATTCTAGATTCCAGCCAAACTGAACTACTTTTATCCAGACATGACAGTTATGTGCATTCACATAAGGTGTGCCTAATGCCTGGAATTAAGCTCTCATCTCCACCTCTCATACTGTTTGGTGTCTTTGGTGTCAACTCAGGTCTTACTTCCTCCATGAAGTTTTCTCTGATCCATTTCTGTTACTATTCTCTCCCTCCTTAATTTTCCTTATGTTCTACTTATTTGTAAGCACACTGTATATTCTCCCAGCTCTGTAAGGACCTCTACACTACTTTCTTTGGTGATCCCATCAGCTTTCATGGGTTCAGTAATCATCTCTATGCAAATAATTCTCAGATCTATTAATCCAGCCCTAACCTCACTACCAATGTCCAGTCTCATATTTCTGACTGCTTATTGGATATCTTGAACTGGATGTTCTATATATAGAGAGAAAAATTTGGAACTCAAAATCTTACAAAAATGAATTTGAAATATATATAGATATATAGATATAGATATAAATTGATATATCAAAACTGAACTCATCATCTTCTTCCCTAAACCCTCCTCTCTGCCTTTTCATTTACTGTGAAAAGCACTGCTATCCTCCCAGTCATCCTGCCTGGGTGCCATCCTCAACTCACTTACTTCCCATATCGAATCAGTTGCTAAGGGCTGTCAATTCTACACCCATACCATCTTTTATATATACCCCCTTTCTCTCCTTTGACTGTCACTATCATGTAGTCCCTCACCACCCCGTGCCTGGATCATTTCAGTGGTATTCTGGTTGGTCTCTCTACCTCAAGTCTCTTCCCCATTCCAGTCTAATCTTCACTCAGCTGTCAAATTTGATCTTCCTAAAGTGCAGGTCTGACCTTGTGTCCCCCCTTAAGAGAATCCTGTTTGTCTCTTAAAGCTCTTCATAACCTGGCCCTGCCTTACCTTTCCAGTCTGCTTACACTTACTCCTCTCCATGAACTCTGCAGTCCATTGATTGACACTAGCCTTGTTCCTGGCACACAGTGCTCCATCTCTCGACTCTAAGCATTTTCATTGGCTGTCTGCCCCCACCCCACCCCATGTCTAGAATGTTTTGTCTCATCTTTGCCTAACTGCCATGAGATCTCAGCTAAAATTTCCCATCTTTCTGACTTAATGCTACTTCCTTCCATCTGAGATTATCTCCAAATTATCTTAAGTAAATGTTACTTGTACCCAAGTTGTTTGCATGCTATCTCCCCATTAGACCGAGTTCCTTTAGAAGAGAGGCTATCTTTTGCCTTTCTTTGTATCCTCAGTGCTTAGCAGTGCCTGACATTTATCAGATAGCTGACAGCAACTGTTATCTTTATCCCTGGCACCTAGGCAAATAGTAGGTACCTAAGTTTTGCTTAACTAAATTGTTTTGCCCCTCTTTTAAAAATCCTATCCAACCCCATTTCTTTACTTTTGGGCAAGACGTACAAGGCAGGGAAATAACCAAATTATGTCTAGGTTGGTGAGTTTCTGGTTATTACGATGTACAAATGATTTTTGAAAACATTTCAAAATTACATTAACTCATATGAGGGAAAGCTCTTTTTAAAATGTGGAACAATCACCTTTCTGTTAACTCTAATAGAACTAACAAAATATTCAATTTTGGAATACAGTATGGATGGGTTTCTTTGAGGCAACAGAGTTCAATCACACAACTAATATCTCAGAAGCACACTGAGCAGGAGTAAAAATTTATTGTGGATAATCCATAAACACAGACTCTATAATTATCTTCAAAATGTACAAAAATGACACTAGTTTCATCTACATTCTTTGCCTAATCGCCATGATCAGCATGAATGCATTTATAATATTACTACTAGCTGGAGCTAGAGACAGAATTGAAGCTAAAAAACAAAGCCAAGTTAAGTGGTCCACAGAAGAACTGAACCCTGTACTTCTTAGCAAAGCTTGTGATAATGCTAGCTTAAAAATGGTCTTAAAAAAAAAAGAGACAGAAAAACAACAAAAAAAATTGGTCTAAGAACTTCCTGAAGAAAAATACTAATACCTAGTACATTTATAGGTGCCCATGAAATGCAGGAGAGGAGAATCTTGCTTACCCAACGTGACTGATAATGTTCAGCCAGCAGCTTTTCGAATTCCTACTGCTCAGCAACCCACATCCCTGCTCAGGCCTACACACTGGTAGTCACAGCTGTTCTTTTCAAGTTTTTCTAAAAGGAACTAACTACTCCCCTGCTTCAAAGTTATTGAATAAAAATGGCTATTAAAACATTACTATATTAAACTCTTCAACTGTGTTCGGTACTGCTGTTGGAACCACTGTTATAAAATAGCAAATTATTTAAAATACTGCAGCCTACAAGCATGCAACAAAAAAATATTTGGCACCATTTAAGATACGGTGAAGTTACTTCTGCCAAAACTGGAGACAGGCATACCCAACCTATCAACTGCCATTAACAGAGCTGCTAAAAACAGGTATCAATCAAGAGATGCATTACAGGCAACAATGAGTTCTATAGGAACAATGTTTATGAACACCTAAGCAACATGGCCATAGGGCAGAGACTACTGGGATAGTTAACTCGACCTTGCAGAAAATGCTATTTGTCCCCTGGGTTCTGGGAACTTTAATTAGCTCATTAACAATGACTCAGAAGTTTGGAAAATTTCTAGAAATGAAAAAGACTTGCAGCAGAGTCTAAGTGAAAGGTGAAAATACCAACTTGGTAAGTGTATAGCTCTTGATCTACTGTAACAAGCATTTGGTACAAAGCATTTACTACATTTACTTCAACAAGTGCCACCTCCTTGGCTCATCTGTTTCTTCCAAAGACTGGTAGAGTACAAGCCTACCATTGTTACCTGTGACTCTACTAGGTACAGCACTCCAAAAATATCTTCCTCCCCGCAAAAACCTGTACCGAAGCCATTTCATCTACAAAACCACCTTCGGAATCCTGTGTTTTAAAGAATCTCATTTCTTTAGGGATGTAAAAGCAGATCTGTACAATATTAGGAAAACTGGCTGTAACCAAGATCAGTTGGAAATTCAAATTCAGTGTTTCAAAGGTAAATGAATCCTTATCCAAAAATTTCAGGCATATAGTCTCTTTTCTTAAACAGGGGATCCTTAACCAAAGTCAGTTTCTTTTTTTTTCTCTGAGTTCTTTGACTGAAGTTGGACCATTTTCATTTTTTTAACAGAAAATTGGCTTAAATGAAATTAATAGCTTAGTTTCCTCCAAAAGGGAGAGAAAAACTGTTAATTTTCAGATGTCAAGTCTACAACAAGGACTAATATGTCCTGCTGCTTTTATATCCACAGCAACAATTCTCCAAAATGGACCAATTTCACTTTCAAATCTTACCCTCACTGAAATGGCCCTGGTAAAAGTAGCTGTTACATTCAGTCTGAAATTTAATATTTGTATGCCCAAACAGCAAAATCATTCTTGGAAATCCTTATCTTGTGATCCTCTAATTACAGAGCAATAGTTTCCCAGAGAATGTTTCACCTTCCTTGATTAAAGTCAATAGGAGGGTTTTAGTATTAGTGAAAAACAGTTTTAGTTGTGGTGTACAACTCATCTAAAAGCCAAAAATGGAAATCACATAAGCACTTAATACCATGTCAGGGACCTGTGATGTCAATGGCACTTGAACTCTCAATGTTTTGTCTATAACTGAAAAGCTACCTGAGGCTCAGACAGGTTAAGTATAGTCAACCAGATCTGAACCCAGGTCTTTCTGACATCTAGCACTCTTCTTGTCATTCCATTCTGCCTGTCTTTAATTCCACAATCAAATCATAAAAGCCAATTAATTCAACATGTGAATTTATTTTAAGTCAGTTTGGTCGTGATTACAGATTGATTTAGCATTGTCTTCACCAAAAACATAAAATGAAATTCAAAATACAGCAATCTGCCTATGCAACAAACAACTGTTAAGTACAAGGTCTGATGGGAAAGAAAACATTTGAATTGGCTTTAGGAACAAAACCAAAGTCTGAAAAGGTCACTGCGTATCTTATAAATTAAAAAAGTTATTACAAAGTCTTGATGACTCAAGAGAATATTGAACCGTTAAATGGAGAGGGAAATGGGTTTAGAAAGGCAAAGCTCTATACTAAGAGCTATTTTGTAAACTAATTTTTGCATGGTTTCTTACTAATCAAAGCAGTACCCAGAATAATAGTTCAAGTCTTTCAAACCAAGCTAGTTTTATTAAGCTGCTACATTTAGCGCTGATAACTTATGTGGCAAAGCCAAAACTTTTAGGCAACAGTATTAAGAGGTTTTAGAAATAACAAGTACCCATGGTTCCTGCTAGTTTTTACTCCCTTCTCCAGTGTAAACATGGAATTAAATCACATTTTCTTATCGTCTTATAGCACTTACATAAAATCCTGACATTTGTAGACCCCAAAATCCAGGTTTTCCCAAAATATCTGTTTCCATTCATGACATTAAAACCACAATTTAGTCAGGTAAACGATCCTAACCTTTCCCTTTAAAAAAAAAACTTAAAGCCAGAGATTTCAAACAATTAAGGCACTTGATAAAGTTAGGCATACAAATGTGTAAGTAAAACAAACTTATCTGTACCAGCAAGTAACACAGAAAACAGTAAAACTTCATTTTAGAAACCTTTAATGTAATTCAATTAATTGGAGCAAGGGTTTTCAGTTGTTCTGCCACCCCCACCAAAAAATAAATCAATGCAATGCCATCTGCTACTGCAGTAGTGCTAGAAACAAGCCACCAAGTACCAAATGACAAATATAAGAATGAACTAGAAAAAAAAACAACCTATTTTTAAGCCTCTTATTAGCCAAATCCAATTGAATACCAATGGAGAAAAGACTGTAAGAAAAACCTTTATTAAAAATGCTAATTTGTTCTGAGATTGGAAAAATTAGCATTAGATGAAAGATGTATTCCAAAGCATGTGTTCCTTTATAGGTACAGGGATTGTAAAAAAATCATCTTAAGGGGAATCACCATGAAACAATTCTAAGACCTATAGGAATCTGCTCTAACCCACAAAAAACCTGTCATATTTCCTGAAATTTCACCGGTCATATCTACTGTCTGAAAACTCTTGATTGTCTCTTTTTAATAAGGAATGAACTTGTGAATGATTCTCAAACTCGTACTTGTTTCCTCCTTGCCTGATAGCAAATTAAAAATTTCTATGAAAGCTTAATTGGAATGCTTAAAAGGTACAGCAGCTACATACAAAGAACTTCTAGAAAATAAATGGAAAGCAAGATATGCCTAATATTTTGCCTAAAATTATCCTGTACCTTTAAAAATAAAATCTCCTAAAAATATTTTAGCAGATACACAAAAATATTGAAGAATTTAACTTATGAATGCTTTCAAACTTCCTATAACATTCTTTAGTTTCAAAATTAAGTAGCTGAAACTTTTAAATTACATAACAAGTTGCTGAGTTTCTACCAAATTTGAGTGCATGTTACTGCTGATCAGAAAGTTAAGCCCATGTTACCTTTCTTAATGAAAAACGACAAATCACATAAACATTTAAAGTTACAGTCTACCTTGTTTCTGTCTTGTCTTTAATTTAAGGCACTGTTCTTTGTTTTCCCAATGATAAGGTGCTTTTAAACAATGGACAATTACCTGCTACATATTTATGGTTTGTACCCTTTGTATTAAATCTGGAATGTAACTTCCTGTATGGCATCTTATTTCTAATGTAGAAAAAAAAATACAGGTTTGTCAAGCACTAAATTCCACTTCAAGGATATACACTAAGAGTACTGTTTTCCCATAAATTAATTCCACTTTTGGACCAATAATCAAAAATCCACCAGCTGATCATTTGGCACATTCTTCTCACAATTTAGTCTATCAACTTACATCCTGAGTGAAAATGGGAATAATGCAGCTTTTAGGCTTTAAAATGACTAAATTTAAACTGATGGCAGTTATGAAACTGTCAGCTCAGGACAGGGAGTCCACCAAATTAAAAAAAAAAACTATATTAGGCATGTCATGGTAAGAGGGGAAAAAAAATCCCACAGCAGCAGCCACTTAAAATAAAAGACAGCTAGCCACAAGGATTCATGCAGAATATTTTAAGTATTCCTGTTGAGTATAAGTGATTGAATTGCTTTTTCTTCAAGGAAGATGCTCCAAAATATCCTATATGCATCCTTTGGAGATTTAAAGATTTTGAAACATTGTCTTCCATGTAGGACATCTCAAAAGGTAATATTTTGGTTTCAATAAACTACACAAATAAACTACTAGTCCATGTTATAATGTTGTGTCTTAAAGAGTATGGTAGTTTCGTTCTTTGGACTTGCAAAATTTAAAGAGAAAGAAAACTACAGCCTGTACACTCAGCACGAGAACAATTCCTCCAATGAAACTAGCTGCATCAAAAGTAGATTTTCTTGTAGAAGGGGTAGGAATCACAGTTGCATTTGCTGCACCTGTTAGGTAAGATAGAAAAGAAATAAACAGCTTTAATGGAAGGTTATAGAGATTTTGAGTCTTTCACACAACTTTCTCTATGCATACTATAACTTGTTTTTAACCAAATACATTACAGTAAAATTTAGGTGTTGATAGGTTTTACTCCTTCTCATTACCCAAAAGAACTGTCACCTTTGGTCTGCAAAAAAATTTGGTGACATATAGAGAGCAGTAATGAAAAGACACACATAAGTTTTTAAATTTGTAATCTGAGGAGCTTTTCAGATACTTAGAACTTTTACCTCGAAAACAAGACCATATATAAGAGATCCCATCCCCAACCACTATAATGACTGCTGCTTTTACACTAAAGATTGCTTTAGTTAAACTTTACCTTAAAAACAATTTTCTCAATTTTAAAATGAGGCAAAAAATAGTAACTGCTCTATTATGGAACCTAGATTTTAAATTGGTAGCATGATACTTGAGGTCCTTCTATTAAAGTGGAAAGTAACTTTTCATTCAGTTTTGGAGGAAATAGAAGCAATGGCCAGTGAAGAAGCTATGGGGTCACAAAGAATTTGATTAAGATGGTTCTCAACTTCAAAACAACATTTAAGTTGACCAGCCAAAGAACCTAATGCTTTACCACTCTTTCACTTCATTAACATGTTTCCAAATGTAGAGCTGAGCTTTTATTTGGAATCCTATAGTGATAATGCCCCAACCTAGTTAGGAATGTACAGGTATGCCCCTCAAATATTTTAAAGGTTCTCAGAGAGAATGTTACATAGTAACAAAAAGGCTTCATAGCAGCCTTAATGTGTTGCACAGTTTGACTCATGGAGGAAAAAAGAAAATAATCAATTCTCCCTTTACTACAATTAGACATTAATTACAAAATTCTATTCAAGGACTATCATGATACTATGATTCTGGGGAATATTCAATTTAATAATTCATTACTTGAACTGTCTGCCTGACAATTCTGACTAAATATTAGAAAACATGACAAAACTCTGTAGCAAAACCTATTACACTAAAACTTTAACAGTGCTCTCACTCTGGTCCTTAAGGATGGAAGATGACTCTGAATTCACAATCATACCAGGATACATTTGGAAAAAATTATTCATCCTATCTCATTCTTACAATTTAAACACTGAGTTAATTACCTGATGTGACAACTGTGGACACAGCTGGGGTGGTTGAGGCTGCAGGTGAAGGTTTGGCTGGATCAAAGAAAAGGTAAAACCTTAAAATTAACTGCCCCAAAATGTCACAAAACCACCCAACCTTTGGCTCAAATGCTAGTAACTGAAAAATATTTTTTGTATTCAGGTACTGAGAGATCAGTTGTTAAATCTGGTCAGACAGCAATGACAAATATTTCAATTTCCACTTCGTCTTTTAAAAAGCTAAAGATAGCACTAGCATTCCAGCCTCTTCTATAAAATCTACTTTCATTATGGTATGATATCAATATTTATTTTTGTTTGTATACTCACATTTGTCTTGTGTGTAACATCTAGAATTTTATATTATTAAGGTTCCAGGGTATAAGGATATATGTCTTTTGAGTTTAGTAGCAGATGTTCAACTACCATTTGATGGTAAAGTCAAGTCAACAATTATTTATCACGAGGTTAACTCTGTGCCAGGCACTGTGCTAAGGGATACAAAGAACAGCCAAAGACAGCCCCTGCTCTTGAGTTCACAGCCTAAAGGAGGAGACAATATGCAAACAACTATGTACAAACAAGATCCATCCAAGATAAACTGGAAATAATTTCGTATGGGAAGAACATTAAGGAACATGGAAAAAGGCTTCTTGCAGACAGTAAGACTTCAGATTAGATTTGAAGGAAGCCAGAAAACAAGAGATGAGAAGGGAGATAATTCCAAGCATGGGGTGAGGAGACAGCTAGTGAAAACAAGTTACATGTGCCAGAATAGCAAGACCAGTGTCACTGGATTGCACAGTACATGAAGAGGAAAATAAGGTATATGAAGACTGGAACGGTATTGATTCTGGAAGGGATAGGGTGCCAGTGGAGTTTGCTCAATGGGGAAAGGGAGAGTATCAAAACTTGACTTTTTTATAAGGATCACCTTGACAGCTGAATTGAGGATAGACTGGAGTGGGGAGAGATTTGAGGTAGGGTGACCAATCAAAAGGCTACTGCAATAGTCTAGGCATGAGGTGATAGAAGACCTGCACCAGAGTGGTGGCAATATTAGAGGAGAGGAGGCATTTACAAGGGATGAAGTGAAAGTAGAATCAACAGGCCTTGGTACCCGATTGGATATGGGGAGCGAGCTGAGGACAACACTTAGTTTGCAAGCATGGGTCACTACAAGAATGGTGGTGCCCTTGACTATAAAAGGGAACTAAAGAATAAGGGAGGGTTTGGGAAGAAAGATAATGAGTACAGTTTTGGACATATTGAGTTTAAGATGTCTATGGGACATTCAGTTTGAGATGGCCAAAAGG